CTCCATAGTATTCTATAAATTTTAGATATGTGTCCCTTATCAGATATGTTTTTGTTATGTGCTGTCAAGTCACTTGCAACTCATAGCGACCCTGCATACAAGAGCCCTAAATTCTGCTCTATCCTGTGCCAACCTCACTGTCTCCAACACACACACCTACACCCACCCATTACCTCAATCACTGAATCAATCCATCTCATCGAGGGTCTTCCTCTCTTGCGCTCGCTATCCATCCACCCTCCCAAACATGATGTCCTTCTCCAAGGACTGGTCTCTCCTTGCAACATGTCCAAAATATGTTAGATGAAGCTTCAGAATCCTTGCTTCCAAGGAGGAGCCCGGTTTCACACTCTCCAGGACAAACTTGTTTGTTCTCTTGGTAGTCTATGGTATGTATATTCAGTACTCTTCTCCAGCACCACAGCTCAAAAGCATAAATTCTCTTTATATCATCTCTAGTCATTGTCTAGTTCTCTGACACATAGTATGCAGTTGTGAAGACTATGGCACAGGTCAAGCCACCTTAGTCTCCACCGTGGTGTCGTTGCTCTTCAGTCCTCTGGAGAGGTCCCTGACATCTGACTTTCCCAATGCAATTTGTCTCTTGATTTCCTGGCTGCTGGTATCAAGAGTGTTGTGTGTGAAACCAAGCAAACTAAAACTGTTAGCAATCTCTATCTTTTCACTATCCATCCTGATGCTGCCAGTTGGCCCATTGATGAGAATCTTTGTTTTCCTGATATTGAACTTCAATCCATATTGAGAGCTGCAGTCCTTGACCTTCTGCAGCAAGCACTTCAGGTCCTCCTCAGTTTCAACAAGCAGGGTTGTGTCATCTGCATAATGCAGGTTGTTGATGAATCTGTCACCAATCCTGATGCCACATTTCTCCTCACACAGCCCAGCATTCCTATGATCTGTTCTGAAAACAGATTGAAAAGGTATGGAGACAGACTATATCCCTGGTGGATGCTTTTCCCAGTTTAGAACCATGCAGTGTCTCCTTGCTCTGTTCTGACGACTGCCTCTTGGTTCGAGTACAGGTTTCGCATAAGCACAATCAAATGATCTGGGATTCCCATTCTTCTCAGAGTCAGCCACAGTCTGTTGTTATCCACAGTCAAAAGCCTTTGCATAGTCAATGAAACACAGATAGACATTTCTCTGGTACTCTCTGCTTTCTGCCAATATCCATCTAACATTAGTTATAATATCCCTAGTACCATGGCCTCTTCTAAACCAAGCCTGCACATCTGACAGTTATCTGGTTGTTTTTTGGATAATTTTCAACAGAATCTTGCTTGCATGTGATATTATGAAATTGTTTGATAATTTCTGCACTCTTGTCAGGTTACCATTCTCCCTCTCCCCCCTACCCAGTCTGTGGGTTTTCCTTTGATTCTATTGGAGAATTTTTTTATGTACACAGGATTTGATTTTTTAGAAGGTCCAGTCCATCTGTTTTATCCTCTCTTCATTCTGCATTTTTGGCTGTATTAAAAAGCCTATTCTTGACATAAACAAGGGCTTCTAAGGTTTTTTCCCTATTATTGTTTCTGATGATCTTTATAGTTTGAGATTTTACCACCAAGTCTCTGATTCACCTTGAGTTGATTTTTGTATATGGTGTGTGAAGTGGAACTTGTTTTCATTTTCTGCTGATAGTTATCTAAAAAAGCTCGGCATTTCAGGTAATATTTTTTAGTAACTCTGGATTCTGATTTTTCTAGTAGGTTGCCTGCCTGTTTGTTTAATAACTTGCCTGGGCTAACTGTAAAATCTGTATCCCAGCAGTGCATGATTGCTTTTGCTTAATCTTGGTTATTTTCGCTTTCATTTTGCTTTTAGTTTTCAGCCACTTTCCTAATTGCTGCCTAGTGTCTACATTTGTATGTAATAGAAGTCAACGCTTGGACAAAGGTTGTGCTCAGACACCTTAATTGAAGCTTGTATCCTTTGCCAAATGGATATATGTATATGGGGACGGAAACACATTAATATTCAGGTCATTTTCAGATCTTTCCTAACTTTTGTTTTTTGCTGAGTTTCTTTTCTTTTCAACTCTGCCTTTGTGTGCAGCCTCAGTCTCAGGAGTGTTTGGCTAATTTGGTCTCTGGTCCCCATGAAATCAGCCTCAGTTGCGCATATGCTTACCCAAAGCACAGCCTGGTAGCAGCCTCAAGCCGACAGCACCACTGAACCTTCCTACTTGTCCACCACTGAATTTATCACTTTATCTTTGTGTTGCTGGATGTTACTCCCCAGTCTAAATTAAGGATCTTGTCTTCAGCACACAAATTACTATTGGTTTTCATAGTCTGGCCCCCACCTTGCAGAAGCTCCATGCTCTTCACATTTGCACAGAGCAAATCCGTGAGGGTGGCCACCTGGGACCGCTCTCATTGCTCTTGCAAACCTGGAAAAGTGATTGTCAGCCACATGTTGAAAATTCATTAAAAAGCTTATAAGCAAAAACATGGAATTTGAAATCTTTTTGATAACTTAATGGGAATGATAGAATATATTTGAACGTTGCTGTTTTTTCTTAAAAGAAAAAGGACAAAACTCTAAAACTATATTTTGTTAACATAAATCGCTTGAGGATTCAACTTGTATCATTTAAAATTTTATTCATATAAAGGTTTATTAAAATAGTTTTCTATGTAAATGAAATGAAATATTCTTTCTTCTCCTTCTCCCCTTCTATGTAGGGGCTTCTTCTGAAGAAGAAGCTGAAGAAAAACAGGACAGTGAAAAACCACTTCTGGAATTATAAGTACTACTTTTGTTAATGTAAGTATTTAAAAATGAAACAACAGAATAGTTAAATATAGAAAATTTTCTCTGAAGTACATTCAGTGTATAATTCAGAAAACAGGAGTGCAGGTATAAATCCTAATTTGTCCTCTCTATTTTCACTTATCAGTCATTTTTTTATTCATGTAAAATTTTCTGTGTATAATTTTGTAAAATATTAAAAATACCTCTTAGATTCCCAATTTTCTAAAGAATAAAGATGTTGTTGTTGTTGTTGATGATGATGATGATGGCCATTGAGTCAAGCACGACTCATAGTGACCCTATGAAAAAAGGCCTGAAGCCTTTCTATAACCATCAACATTTATTAAAGTTCATAGAGTTTTCAGAGGCATGTCCTCCACACTCACTATTGTTCTAGGGTTGATTTTAATTCATAGGTATCCTTTTGTATTGGAGAGAATAAAACTGCCCCATAATTTCCAGGACTAAACCTTTATAGTTACAGACTGCCACATTTCTCTTCCTCAGAGATGCTGGAGGGTTCAAACTGCCAACCATTAACATCAGGTACTTAACCACTGAGCCACCAAAGCTGAAAAAATCAGACTCACTACCATCAAGTTCTCTCCAACTCGTGTTGAACCTCTGGCTGTTTCCTGAGGCTGTGTATATTTACAGGGTGATAGGTAGGCTCGAATCACAGACTTAAAAGGTTTGCAGCCCAACATGCTATCCATTATGCTACCAGAGCTCATTTTATTTTTGTTTATATAACTAGCATCTGTTGGTACCATATATGGTTTTAAATATTAATAGTAATGCACTTGTGAGAATAACAACTGTATCCCCAGTTTACACTGCAGGTGGTAGAAATATAGAGAGGGTAATCACTTGTACCAGAATGCACAGCAACCAAGAGACGGAGCTGAACTTACCTGACACCAGGTGGTCTCTAAGAGCACCTTGGAGCTTCCAAGGTGAAGGATGTTTTCCATTCACAGCTGGAGTGCTGATAACACTTCAACGGGAAACGCATTGTTAGATTTCTGCAAAGTTTCAGAGACAAACATTCCAGTCTCATCAATGTAGAAATAGATAGAAAATGAGTTTCAGTAGCAGCACCTCTGCCCAATTATTTAATCATGGAAGAAGTCAGCAGCAGATTTTGTGACTTTTGACAACCAGAAGAGAGGCCAGCCAGTGGTGTCCAGAGAAGGTCTCAGAGACTGATGGCTGCATTGTTTGAACACAACGCAGTTCAGAGAAAAAGAATACTAGTGTATGCTTTTCATCCTTTTCTAAAAGTACTTATTACCAAGCTGCAGGTGGCTCTATGATCTATGTGTTAATAGAGTCCGTCCTCAGGGCACAGATTTTGTTAAAAAATACTCATGGCAGAACATTGCATTTTGCCTTTTCTTTTTTCATAGTGTGAAAAATCCTTGCTGAAAGTTGTCAGAGGGGAAAGCAGTCTGGAGATGAGAGTCGCCCTCTGGAAAGTTGCAATGATGACATCCACTGATGACTCTGTTAAATGGCTAACAAAGAATTTATTTATTGTGATACCTCACAGACATTATACCGTATCCATGAGCCTGCTGGGGCTGGTAAGATCATGCAATGATCCATTCTATTTTCTGTGCAAATGAATCTGATCTGTTCATGAATCTTTGCAAAAAAGTCTTGTGCTGTATTCCTAATCAAAGAACTTCTTAATATATTGTTATAATACTTTTTAGTAAACAAAGTACCTTTTTGTTTTAAGTCACTGTGTTTGTTTTATGTTTCAGACTTATTTTATATTTCTTAACATCTGACACTTCCCTTGTGTTTTTTAACTCATGCACATACATGCGCTTTTTGTACAGTTTTAAAACATTAATAAAGCCCACAATCAAAATGATTTTTTACATGTTTAGCATTATGTATTTAACCTGAAGTGGTGCATTTATAAATATTTAAGAGGGAACAAAGAGTGAATGACTGTGAAATTATGTAAACTGTTATAAGACATTCTGTATCATTTTATTATAAAATAATGTTTTTCTCTCAAAGTATGATTTTGAAATATTTCTTATTTGAACCCCTATTATGAAATCATTGCTATTATTTTCCTTTTGTGTTTGGCTAATTGAATTAAAAATGAAGCAAATTATACTGTGAGCTTGATTTTTTCACCAACATAAACATTCACAGCATGCCTGTTAATTTTTGTTCCATCATTTTTTCTGACTTTGAAGAAAAGTATGATTGTGCTACTGATTTGAAGGAAACACCTTTTGATCGAACTGAATAAGCCCATCAATGCTTGCTCCTAGAGTGGACCAAATAGCAGAAATGCAGTCAGGATTCTCCCCAGAAGGGGCTTCTCATAATGTGAGGCGGTAATCTTGGTACTAAAAACCTCAAGAACCCAACAGGATTGTCCTTGGGAGAGTGCCCCATCAAAGGAGTGGAGCTGCATATATTAAGCCCATAAATGGTGTTGGACATCTTAACAGTCATTTAACCTGAGAAAGACCTCTCATCACACTTGCTTGGGTTGAGCCAGCAGGATGTCACTGACCCTCATAGGAAGCCAGAACTCACTCAGAAGTGGGTTTCATGTGTGCAGACCAGGGAGTTAGGTGTATGATTTGACTGTACAATGAAGGCAGTCTGTGCAGGCCTAAGCATGTGTCCTGACAGGAAAAATCTTCTAGGCTTAGAGATCTTGAGCCCATGGGCCCACCGTGTTTGGCAGGACGGAGGTGAGAATATGTCTTCTAATCATCCTTGTTCACACTTCACGTTAACATCTTCTGAGCCGTGGCTATTAAGCCCTAAGACAGCAGTTCAAACCTGCCAGCTACTCTGTTGGAGAAAGAGGAGACTGTATGCTTCAGTAACGCTTTACAGCTTCTAAAACCCTGTGGAGCAGGTCCACTCTGCCGTACAGCGTCTCTGCAAGCTTGGTACAACTCAATGAAGTAGTTTTGTTCCTTTATCGGGACTTCATATTATTTGGCTGATACAGTTGATCTAGTCATGCAGTTGAACTCAGGGGCTCCTTATGTCTTGTGAGGAAAAAAGCATATTGCCCACATCTACAGACTGCCCACAGTAGACCTTCATGGCCAAGCCTCATGTCACCGTGTCCACAAAGAAAATTAAACATGAAGGTACCGCCATCTGAGAAGCACACATGGAAAATCCCAGGTAGTTGGTGAGGTTTGGAGGATTTATTTTAGTACTACAAGAAGTCCTCGCCGTTCCTTAAGAATAGTGTAGTGGGAGTAGATGGGAAGTACAGCACTTGGAAACGCCTGGGCACTAGCTTTCCAGCTCCCATCAGCAGCTAAATGGGGTAACCTTTGTATGTAAATAACAGGGAGCCTAGCCTTGCCACAACACTAATAGTATGTTTGATATCAATCTCATACATGTGTGTGGTTAGATACTGTGTTTCCACTAGCCATGGCCTTTTGAAAGTGAACAACGCTAGTTGTGGTGTAACTGTCTTTATTTTATCTTTTACCACCCTAGCCACCTCTCACATAGCCCCAGCTAAGGGTTGGTTTGGCTTTGAGCATTTTCCACGAATCAACCACATTTAGCAGAACACGTAAACAAAAGCCTGAGAAAATAAAACCATTAGCCACACTGCCGCTCTCTCCTGCCGCCCACTGTCTCCACCACCACCACTCCCCCCATATCTGCCTCGTGGAAGGGCAGCAAGGTTGAACTGGGGGAAGAAGATGTGAAGAAATTAGAGGCCACAGGAAACACTGCTTAGTAGGCCTGCTAGTGAAGTCATCCTCACAAAGCTTTTAATGACTTAAAAGTCTCTCTTCTTTGCTTTTAGTTTTTCGAATGCATTAGTAGCCCAAATCCCTATAGAACCATTTATTTGTCTTAAATTAGCTCAATCAAATTTGTAAGAATCAAGCAAGTTTAAATTAAATATTTCTTGTATCTAATCAGTCTTTCCAAATAAGCACCTTTCATAGTTCTAAAAGAATGTCACAGAAATACTGAAGCTGATTATAAAACAAAACAACCAAGCAACCTGCACTATTTAAAGTAAGATATTCTTTTTATATATAAACGTTTTTACAAGCATTCATTAGAAAACTAGGATAATACACAATTTTTTTCCACCTACCTACCTGTCCGTTGTACATTTTGCTTTATATCTCTGCCTGTCGAGATGCACACACATTAACATTAAATGTTATGTTATTTTCCAGTAGAAAGTTGCTCAGAGGACATCAACAAATATTTCACTGGAAGAGAAGTATGTTGTTAGGTCCCCTCAAGCCAACTTTTACTCATATCAACCCTATGAACAACAGATCTGAACATGGGACTGTCTTACACCGTCCTCACAATATACTCAAGCCCATTGCTGAAATCTCTGTCAGTCCATCTTGTGGGAGACCTTCCTCTTCCTGTGACCCTGCACCATTCCCAGCATGATGTCTTTTTCCCCAAGGGCCCTTGACAACATGCCCACGGTATGGGAGACAAAGTTTCACCATCCTTCCCTCTTTCTCTAAGACAGACTTGTCTGTTCTTTTTACAGTCCATTGAGTACTGTTCTCCCATACCACAATTCAAAGGTCACACTTTTTCTTTTGCTGGGTTTATTTATTTTCCAACTTTCAGATGCATAGGAAGCAATTGAAAAAACCATAGCTTAGTTCAGACACACCTTTAAGCTGACATCACTGTTGTTTAGTACTTTGAAGGAGTCCTTGACATAGGTTTTCCCAATGCAATATATCTTTTGATTTTTTGGCTTCTGTTACCCTTGGTATTGATTATGGATCCAAGTAAAATGAAATTGTTGAAAACTTCAGTCTTCTCCATCTATTTTAATGTTGCCTATTGGTCCAGTGATGACACTTTTTGTTTTGTTGACAAGTAATCTATATTGATGGCTGTAGTATTTATTTAGTTACATACTTAAAAAAAAGGTCTTGAAAGTAAAGGTGAACAGAGAAGTGCAAGTTAATGTGAAATATGTACTACTTAAGAAGAATTTGGCAATAAGAATATATGTACATAAAAACCAGTTGTGATGGAGTGGGTTCCAAAACTTGATGACCCCATGCATGTCAGAGAACTGCTGCAAAATTTCTCCTGACCAGGTTTTCAGAAGCATGTCACCAGGCCTTTCTGCTGAGCTGTCCCTTAGTGAGCTTGAGCCACCAACCATTAGGTAGCAACTGAGAACATTAACTACACAACACAGAAATTCCAGACACGAGTGTGTGTGTGTGTGTGTGTGTGTGTGTGCGCGCGCGCGCGCGCGCACGCACGTGCATGCACACACCCGTTAGGGGAAAACCCAAACTCAGAACCTTTGAATCACTTTTGACTCCTGGTGTCCTTCCATTGGGTTTTCACTGCTGTAAATCATGGTTACAGGAAACAGCCCCATCTTTGTCTCCCTGCGTAGCTGATGGATTCAAACTGTCAACCTCAATTAGCAACCCAGCACTTGAGTTATTCTCAGCCATCAAGTGGGAACAGATTCTTCAGAAGGTTTTCAGAGGCAGGAGATTGCTCATCTTTCTCCTGAGGGAACCACTCAACATTGGCCTTTGGCTTGGTCATGCAGCTCCTTACCACTAGACCATTAGAGCTACCTACTCTACTGTTGTTGTTATGTGCTGTCAAGTTGACTGAGACTCATAACAACCCTATGAACAATAGCTCTGAACCCTGCTCTCTACTGAGCCAATCTCACTGTCCAACACACCTACCCCTGTTACTGAGTCAATCCATCTCATCCAGGGTCTCCCTATCCTGTGCTGTCCTTCCACACATGATGTCCTTCTCCAAGGACTAGATTTTCCTGACCACATATCTAAAGTATGTGAGACAGAGATTCAAAATTCGTGCCTCGAAGGAACAACTTGGTTTTGTTCTTCCCGGGACACACCTGTTTGATTTCTTGACAGTCCATGATATGTTCACTTCTGTTCTCCAGCACCACAACTCAAAAGGCATCACTTGTTCTTAACTGTTAGTCATTGTTGAGCTCTTTGATGCTAAGTAAGTAATTGAGAAGACCAGGCCCTGACAGGAGATTTTCCCAATACAATTTGTGTTTTGATTTCTGTTGGTGCCAAGAATATTGATTGTGGAACTGAGCAAGCTGAAATTGTTAACAATCTCAATCTCTTTTTGCATCTATCATGGTGCTTCCAATTGGCCTTGTGGTGAGAATCTTTATTTTCTTAGTGTTGAACTTCAGCCCATATTGAAGACTGCAGTCTTTGACTTTCTGCAGCTAATGCTTCGGGCCCTTTTATGTTTCAGCAAGCACGGTTGTGTCATATGCATAATGCAGGTTGTTGATGATCTTCCTCCAATCCTGATGCCACATTCCTCCTCATAAAGCCCAGCCTTCTGAATTATTTGTTTCTCATATAGCTTGAAAAGATATGGAGAAAGAATGCACTCAATTCCTAATTTTGAATCTTGCAGTGTTTTCCTCTTCTGTTCTGACAAGTGCTTCCTGGTCCAAATTATAATTTTGGCATGAGCACAATCAGGTGTTCAGGGATTCCCGTTCTTCTCAATGTTAGTCACAATTTGTTGTGATCCATCCAATCAGATACCTTTGTGTAGTCAATGAAACACAGACATTCCTCTGCTACTCTGTTTTCAGCCAAGATCCATACAACATCGATGTGCCTAGTGTCATAGCCTCTTCTAAACCCACCTTGCATTTCTAGTAAGGTACTGTTCCAGTTGTTTTTTTAATATTCTTCAGCAGAACTCCTAGAGTGGAAATTATATAATATCACACTCAAGCAAAAACTCTACTCTTACTAGAGCTCCTCAGATAAAAGTATATATAACTACTGGAATTACATATAAGAAAGGTAAACCACTGGACTATTAAGAGGAACAGTGGTTGAAGAAAGAGTCTCAATGCATATTTTTGTATTTTGATTGTTGAGTCATGTGGCTGTGTTAGCTAAAAATTTTGAGGAAGTAATGCCATGCATATTAATTTTTCAACAAAACTTCCTGATTTAGTTTCAATTTCATTAGTTTCCTGTTCTAAAAACAAAACCCCTAGCTCTAGCTATATGAATTGGTAAATTGGGCAAAAGTTTACAGAGCAGATCAGTTTTCTATTCAACACCCATATACATTTTCAGTGGAAGTTTATAGAGCAAGTTGATTTTTCATTAAGCAATTCATATATGCTTTGTTTCCTGCATTAATTTGAAGTCCTCACAGTATAACTTCAATCATCCTACTTCCTTCCTATATTTTCCGTTTCCACTCCTTCCT